TATCAGGTAAATATCACTAGTTTTCCTTCCTAAGAACACAATAAACAAGAAATTTGAGTGATACACATAAGGACTTTAGAGGGATATAGTAGAACTATAGTGGAAGTCTTGAGTTTTCTCCAGTATGCCATTTCATTGTGTCCCTCATTTCTGATGCTTGTATCTTCACACCATAATGTAACTACATTTTTAACTTCCACTGTGTTTTGGTAACATCACATTAGTTACTGCTCAGTTGAAAATGTAAACAGTGAAGCTTTCTTCCCAGCTAACTTGGTGAATCCCTCTAACAAATCTGCTTTGTGGTGAGAGTCATTCAAGCATGCTCTTTAACAGTAACACAAATCATTACATGTTATGCTTCTCCCAGCTTATGCAATAGGGATGCTATTTACATTTGTTTAAGCACAAAAAGGGATTTTCCTGGAGAACCACAACAGAAAATTGAAGGGAAGGCACAGGGGGTAGGGGTGTGGGGATAGTATGACCTTGAGCTGATTTTCTCCTGCTTTAGGTTATGTTCTCTCTCTGTTTGTTTCACTTGAGGGAGAAGGTAACCACCAGCAGCTCCAAGCTCTAGTTTGATTAGCTTCAGGTCTAGTGAAAAAAAGAGAGCATTTCTTTCCTAACAGTTTCAGGAAAAGTTCTGAGATTGATTCCCACTGGTTCTGAATAAACTGAGTTGGGTCACATGTCCATTCCTGAAAGAGTCACTGTGGTGAAGGGAATAGGTTGTTCTGATTCAATCCACTTGGGTCAATGTCACTTGGCCCACATGAAACAGAAAAGGATGGGGTCATGGTTCCCCCTCACTTCCTCTCCCCCCAGATCAAGGTGCTCATTAGCAGATGGGCCAATGGATGCTAATTAGGCAAAACTATACTGGACTTCAAGGTATGCCACTGTGAAGCCAATGGTGCTTAATATACGGAGCTCTTAACACATTTAGGTCCCTTTCCTAACACTGTGTGTCATTTTGTATTTTTATTTTTGTATTATTTTCAGATCCCCCTAAATTGTACAGGCTTCAAAAATTCACAGAACCTGGATCTTATCCTGTCGAGGCTGACTCCACCAGAGCTCTACATCATTCAGGCTAATTCACTCGGGGAGCAGGACAGAATTACCCCCCGGTGAGGCACCCACACCAACTATTTGCAATAAGAGTTCAACAATAGCAACAACATCGAAACTTTGGCTTATAGAAAACCCATGAGCTACAAATATTTGAATGAATTTAGGCAAAATTCTGTATGCAATGCAAAACTAATGAAAATAATAAGGTAAGTAGATTTTCCCCAAATAATTTTCACTGAAGTTATTTCTGAAATATTAACTCTCTGATTTATTTGTCCATTAGAATTCCACAATATACATGTTTCACTTTCTTTTAAGCCCTATACACCTTTTTATAGCTAAGTTAGTTGTTCCTCTATGTCTAATAATTCAATTATTTGAGGTTTTAAAGTTTACTTCTCTTACTCTTCCATAGGAAGACTCCTGTCTTAGCTGTGTTTGTTTTCCCAGTTCTTTGCATGCCTGGCATGTATAAGGTACCAGATGAGAATGACGGAAGGATGGATGGGAGGATAAAACCAAATTTGACCACAATCTTGTAAGATTAATAAGCATAATAGTCACCTCACAAAAAACGGGAACCAAGGGCCAATTCAAACAGCTAAGTAATGGCAGTGCAGAGGCCAGAATTAATTTTTCTTCTTCCTAGAACACTTCTCTTCCAATATTTCATTGTCTTTTTTTATTCCTATTTATTCTATTACAGTTGTCCCAATTTTTCCCCCTTTGCCTTCCTCCATCCTGCTCCATACCCCACTCCCACGGTCAGTCCCCACACTGTTGGTCATTCATACATGTTTTTTGATCCTTCACCCTCTTTCCACCATTCCCTCCTTCCCCTCTTTCCTTTGGCAGCTGCCAGTCTGTTCCCTGTTTCCATGTCTCTGGATATATTTTGCTCATTCATTTATTTTGCTCATTAGATTCCTCTTATAAGTGAGATCATATGGTATTTTTCTTTCACGGATTGGCTTATTTCACTTAGCATACTGCTCTCCAGATCACAGAGTCTTTGAAAGAGTATCCTGTGAGCCAGTCTAAGGTAGGGGTTGGCAATACATTCAAGTGCATATGTGGTCTGTGGCTTCTCTAGTAGCCAGGATGAAGTAGCAAGAACAGAAATCAGAAAGAAAAGAAAAACTGTAAAAGGGATTAGGAAAAGTTGTTGCTATTGTTGTTTTAATTAAGATTGGAGAGACGGTAGCATCCTGTGGGGTAAAGAGAATGCTTTGGTGAAGAGGGAGATATTAAAATGGTAGGAGAGAAAGGAATCCAAGGAAAGGCAGAGCAAATGAGTATAAATGTTGCACAAAGGTAGATATGGTAGCAGGGGATTGTGAAATTCTTTTCTGTCTGCTTTAATTTTTTCAATGAAATCCATATCAAGGTCATTGGTCAAGAGAAAGAATAAGGGAGGCGGTACTGTGGACTTGAAATTAAAATAAAAGGTATAAAAAGGAGTAAGTGGACCAGGGAAATATAGAATGACCACTGGGCAGCATTAAATATTCACTTGAGATTGTAGTCATGAAGGTAAAGCGAGTCACCTCAACACGTGATGTGTTTTTCTCCAGATCCATCATCATCCTGGCATGGCCTAAGTGGAGAGTCGAATGTAACCAGGGCTGTGACTTCATCAAATGAGCACAATGAAGGGAGAAAGAAGCAAGGAAGTTAAGGGTATATGCAATAGTAAAATGACATTCAGTTTCCATAGGAATTCAGCAGATTAAGGAGGCAGAAACACATGCAGAGCTTGGGGAGGTCAGTAAAAGGGGCTGGGATCAACAGATTGGAAATCCTAGTAGAACCAGTGGTGGAGGAAGGAAAGAACACTGATAAGATAGATAGGTGGTTGCAACCAGCCAAAATTGGGGTGCATGGAACTTAAGTTATAGTTTCTGACAATGCCCAGATACAGGGTATGCCCACAAGGCTAAGTAGTTTAGGAGAGACTGGAAGACAAGGTCACTGAAAACAAGGTCGGGATGTGCCAGTGTCCTTTCAGCACTGGTAGCTGGCCATGCGCATCAGACTGCTCAGATTATGGAATTCAATTTACAGTTTACTGACCACAAACTAATACTGTCTTTCTTCCACAAATCTCAAGTTTGCATGGAGAGGAATTTTCACTTCCCCACTACAGGCTAATTTTAAACAAATAATTGTAAAAATGACGCAATCAGATAGGCCTAATTTCAGCATTTATTTGCTGTTTTCTTTCTTTCATTATATCCCTATCTAAATCACAGACTCAAATCTATGGTTCTATATAAACTAATTATAAACAGAAGGTATTATTGAAGGTGCTACAAAATACCTTCTAATATTATTAGATTATGTTAAAATTTAATTTATATTTCACTTTAGAGTAGTATTGCATTAAAACATCAGAGCATTAAATGAAAATATTAATGTGAAATATGAAAAAATGATCAAGTGGGAGACAGAATAAGAAACTAGATAAAAAACAGATTATGTATTTAATCAGAAATACATTAATTTCAGAAAAAACAATGTTGCTTTGTGAAAGTACATAAAAATTAGAATTCAGACTGCACTAAAGCATTTTCCCTCACCGATGTAAGCTGTAGTATTTTACAGGTGTACTGATCCTAATTGAAGACACTCGTGAAAAAAGAAATACGTGAAAGGTATGACTCTTCACGCCAGACCAGGTTTAAAAAAATATCTAGTCATAATGCAGATATGCATAAGCGTTCTGTCCCTGGGGCTATCTGGAGCTATGGGAAAGCTAACACTTCCCCCAATTATTTGGAAAAATCTACAAATTCCATCTCCATAGCTATGCCTGAGCATCAGCATTTCTACCCCTGCCCTGCACAGGGCCACTGTAACAGCCACATGAAACCCCTGGTGCCAAATGATCCCTCTGATGATAATTCCAGGGGGAACCCCTGGGATGCTGCACTGTCCTTGCCGATACCCGTCCGTCAGTAGTGCAGTAATGGCTGACGCTTGCCAGTGTGTCAAGTCTGCCGAGGTAAGAAGTTTCTTTACCCCCAAATTTGTGACACCATTACCTTCATGAGCTGCAGAGCAATACTCTGAATCCTTGGAGTACTAAAGTAGTATTTTAAATGAAGCAGCTATTTTAATTTTTTCTTTTAGAATACACAAGTGATGAATCAGATATATTTTGGAATAACAGACATACCTCTACTCCCATGCATTCTTACACTTAGAAACAGATAAAATGTTCTTAAACTGTCTTTCCTCTTAGGGGCTGTGTATTTTGCTGAGAGCTTGCTTAGTTGCTCATCAGCAGACCTGCATGTAACAAATTATACCAGCGGCCCTCCATATATGCCTGGGCTTACCTGGGTCCTAGGAAACAGCACTGGCCTAAGCTGAGAATCCTGTTTTATACACACCAGCACCTGACAACCTCTGTCTGGGGTGTGTATATGTTTTTGTTTTACTATACTGTTTATATTTTTTTAAATATTGCCATAATCCGATTTCTTTCAGAATACACATTTGTAGTGTTCTCCACAGTACAGAACTGAAGCCAGAGCAGGGCTGGACTGGCCATGAAAAATGTCCATTGACACCTGATCCTTAATACTTTTTGAATCTCCAAACTTGTTCAAGGGCTACATTATTAACAATAGAAGATTCTCCAGGGTTTTCTCTGATCATATTCCACTTGACCAAGGGCAACAATGACTTAAATCCCAGTCTCTGAAATCACTCCCATTCTTTACAGAAGTCTTCACAGAGCAACAAAGGATCACCCTAAGCAGAACAGAGAGTATCTGAGAGTCTCTGAAGCATGAGATGAAGACAGTCCAGTCATGCTTAAGAGGAGCAGTATTGCACAAATATGATATAATAAAAAGAATTATGGAGAGATTACAAAAATTCTGAGGCTTCACCTACCCACCAGACAGGCCACTTACCAGATATCTCCTCTAGGCACTGCTTAGCAGTCTTACTGTATGATAAATCCATCTTAGTAGGACTGGTACAGGAGTCGGCAGATGGTAAAGAAGTACCTTCATTTTCCGAATGTGCTCTGAAATTAAACAAGTAGAAACAAATAGCAATTGCTGTGACCAGTGACTCATTCAAGTTTTCTATCATAAGTCAACATATTAAAAGTTTTCTATCAAGGTAAGTAAGCATCTCTTCATGACTGGGACATTCCAAAGCTCTCTGGCTATAGGAGAATTTCCTTGCCCCTCCCTGCTCACTTCCAAGGAAGGTCCACTGTATTCTCTTCTTGTACTTGGGCTTGTTCTTTGTGCGCCCCTGTACCTTCCTCATCTCTTCCTTGGCCTGCTGTCTATAAAGGAATGGGAAAAAATCCTCTTAAGTTTTCTGAAGATGTTTATTACTTGCTGAGTAAATTTAAGTGGAGATTATATAATGAGATTGATGGCCCCTGGGAAAGCTTCCTGGCTGCGTGCCAGAAAGCCTCAGCATCAGGTGCTTTGGTGAACAGGCTATGTGCCAGTCACGTGGGCTCAGTAGGGAAGGACTGATCTCTCAGAGGTTGAGTCATGTTCCGCAGTGTGTGGAGGTGGCTGTCCAAAGCCTGAAGCAAGTGCCTCTTATCTGAACAAGACCCACTGCCATCACAGGGCCTGAACACGTGAGACCATGCTGGTGGTAAACGTTCACAGTATTTCCCTCTAGGAAAATCTGTATGAAGAAAAAGAGTATTCAGAATGTGTTTTGGGAGCTGAGTTTTTGCTTTGCTCCAAAAAACCATCTTAAAAAGTATTCCTCAGGAGCTAACTCTGGCTATCTTTCCCAATGTAGGAAACGTAGTACTGGGTTCAATGGAAGTCCTCACTTCTCCTGCCTGAGGCACTCTTTTGTAAAAAATATTCATGCCTCTGAGAGCTTAGTCCTCTCTAAGAAGTCATTGTTTTATTGTATTTTTTAATGTGGCAAGGCTTATTTCTGGCTGACTCACTCTTTAACATGCTTTTAAGTTTGTCACAAGAGACAATCTTATTTACCTTATATTTATGGTAAATAATATTTTCCATGATATTCCCTAGGTGAGTTACCAACATTAGTGATGATAGGGAAACAGGTTTATCAAGGAAAGGAATGTGGAGAAGTTAAACTTCAAATTATTATAAAAAGGACTTAGAAGTCATCTTCAGTTTGTATACACATTTAAATGGGCCCACATCTCTTTTCTGTGTATGCTACAAGCCATCCATTTCTCCAGCATTTCCACCACATTATTTGGAATCAGATTTTAACTCCTGTCTGTAGAGGGACAAGCATTGCTAACTGGTAAAGATTTAACATTTATACATATGATCAAAAAAGTTCAGTTACAAAGCTGAAGACCCAAAACACATCCGCTTTTTCTGTGCATGTTTGTTTCTAGTAAAATAAAAGGTTTAGGGGTGGATTGCTGAAACAGCATATGAAGACTGGAATCAGTAGCAATCTCTAATGATAAGGTGCATTTAGACATATTGCAGGGGGACCATCCACTGGTCCCATGTAAACTGATACTGCAATTCCTTCAAATTTACTAGAAGAGAAAAATGACCATGATGATTTCCTTCAAAATACTTAGCAGACACAGTCATGCACTCACTATCTTACTGCTCATTTACCAGATGGTCAACATGTCACAAGCACCTATTTGAAACTATAAGATATGTAGCTTTAGGAAAATGCCATCTGATTTAGTTAGAGCTCTAATGAGCCAGGTCCTGAGGGCTAGTGTCTGTTACCAAGAGCTGTAGTGGTTAAAAGTCTAGACTTCAGTGATTGACACAAAAGCTATTAGTTGTTTATGTAGGTACTTACTGTGGGCCAAGTGCTACGCCTAGGGTTTCACTTACGCCTATCACTCAAACTTCACAACAAGCCTGTTGCTATGGATTAAATATTTGCTTCCCCCCAAATTCATATGTTGAGCTCTAATCCCCAAGGTAATAGTATTTGGAGGCGGGGCCTTTGGGAGGTGATTGATTATGTCATTGAGTGAGGCCCCCATGAGTGGTCTTAGCTCCCTTATAAAATAGACAATCAGAGAGCTCCCTTATCCCTTCTGCCATGTGAGAAGGCGGTTCTCTTGAGCCAGGAAGCAAGGCTACACCAGGTACTGAATCTGCCAGCACTTGATCTTGGACTTCCCAGCCTCCAGAAAGTAAGAAATAAATGTTTGCTGCTTAAGCCAATCAGGCTATGGCAGTTTTGTTATGACTTCCAGAATGGATTAAGATACCTGTATGTGTTATGGATAAATTAAGGCTTCTAGAAGTTTAATATTTTGCCCTACATAAGAAGCTAGTTGATACTGAACCCATACTTAAAACTATAAACACTTTTCTGTTAACCACTACTCTATAGGTTAACTCTCTCCAAAAGCCTCTGGACACTGGGTATTTTACTGCACTTGAGGTTCCCTTAGCTGAGAGATAGCTCAGTCATGAAGTTAATAACAGATAATATTTGCATGTGACAATATCCTTTGGTCTATACTAAATTTTACTCTTTACTACCTTCAGTTTTACTCATAAGTAAAATAAGCTATTATATGTGTCATTTAAAGGAATTCAGCAATAAATCAGAAATACTATCAATCTTCAAATTTCATAAATATGGATTTACATATTGATTTATATTAAAAATATATCTCCTGGTGGATTCACCTTGATATGATTATAGTCATAAATGCTGATACAAATAGAACTGGTTTGAGTCAACATTAACTAATGGTCTTGTAGTTCTGTCATTATAAACCTAACAAAAGGGAATGAGAAACAAATAAATATCTGTCCAAAACCAATAATAGGCTTGTTTTTTTCTCTCTTTCCTCATGGGAAGGCAGACAGTAATAACAATAGTAATCCGTTAGTGCACACAGTTGAGAGAGACAGAGACAGAGAGAGAGAGAGAGAGAGAGAGAGAGAGAGAGAGAGAGAGAGAGAGATCTCTTTCTCAAAGTAGAATGCCAGGGCATAAATGTAGAAGGAACAATCAAATTAGAAATCATTTGACATCCATTGGAGTAAATTATTAATCCTGGCAAGAAATCTCAATGAATGCTAAAATTTAAGGGTAAAAGTAGATATAATAATAGAATTTTTACACACTCTCAAAATACTTTCCACAAAAATACTTAGTAGATAAAAATGGAACAAAGTAACTTTAGAGTGGAAAACCATGGCAGACATTATCTTAATCAAGTGACCAATTTAACACCACCAGAATGGAAAATATCAACATCATATCTATAGGCTGCAATGAAAAAAACACAGCACTATGTCTATGACACTCCAGATGAATTAATATATATGTATGTATATATATATATTCATGTGTGTATATATATGATTATATATATATAATCACATATATATCACACACATATATAAAATTATGAGGGAATATCAGACATGCCCAAATTAAGAAACATTCTATAAAATGCCTGCCTTCAATATATCAATGTCCTAAAGGTCAAGAAAATACTGAAGAGCCATTCCAGACTGAGGGATGTTAGGAAGACATGACAACTGGATGTAGTGAGTCAGTGTATACGGGAGTTCTTTGTACTATTCTTGCAAATTTCCTGCAAGTTAATTTTTTTTCCTCCAAGAAAAAATAAATTGTAGAAAGAAGAAACAGCAAAGGTTTGATTAGGCAATCTGGCAGTGAAGCTTGTAAGCCAAGTACAGAAAGGGCACTTAAATAAAGTTTCTCTGCTGAGCGAATGCCAACTCACAGCAGTGCTCTACACTCCAGGCCCTCTTCTAGACGGGTCTCTGTATTCCCTCTTAAAATATTGCTGTGCAAGGGAGTTCAAACTGCTGCCAAATGCACAGATATACATCAAACCTGGAAAATTTAAGCTCATAAGGCAAGCATTCAATAAGCTTTTTGTGCTGATGACCAATTATGCCCAGTGCCCATAAAACCACAATTGTAGCATAATCTGCAATAGTAGCTGCAAGGCTTACAAAAGCTTTGTCTGCATCATGGTTATATGCTCTACATTTCAATCTTGGTAAACTCACAGATGCTCCTGCTCAATGTATTGGTTCAAGAAATAAGCCAAACTTAAAACCACGTGAGTAAATATTTTCAAATCTAATATATTTGCATTCTTCGTCTTTTAGAAGATAGTTATAATCATCAATTCCCCATGCCACTTGCAGGGAAATCTGAAATTTCACAAAAAGTTGTTACAACAAAAACCTCTTCTGAGAACCCATGAAGCTGTTATATAAGATACATCATATATCAAAAGAGAAAAATAACCTATAAATTCAGACTTTCTTGACCTAAATTTACAAATCAGGTATGTGGTAAAGGGTCTCTGCTTGTTTGATTAATGGGTTTAAAAAGTATGGTGATTTTCTTCCCAGTACAGCATTGCCTTGCCGTATCTAAGGACTGGTTTTCTTTTTTTCTCTTGCAAACTGCCCTTTGACTTTAGGAGTTTGCTTTATGCCCAGTGCATGGGTCCCTTACTATTTACTACAAATGGTCAGAAAATTAAAAAAAAATGTAGAGCTAAAAACAGTTTTAAGTTCTGAACCATGTTAACAGATATTTTGAAATTTATTAGGAGCTGCTAAAAAGATTGAAGTTTAAGGAAAATGTACAGATCCCTCTTTCCTCCTTAATTCACCAATTAATTCACTATTATACTTCACATATCTTTGCAATCATGAAGAATATAGCTCTAAACTAATGAATGCAAAAGCAATGGAAGAAAAGTGACTCATGGCAAGAGAGGAGGCATTTTGTGGAAGGTCTAAAGGAGCTAACAATTTTTGAATTTCAAGCAAGAAAAACAAAGTTGAAAAATACATAACATAAAGGGAAGATACCAAGAAATAAGAGGAACAGTTAAGGGTAGGCTTTTTTTCTTTAATTCTGCTCTTCTCCTTTCTCTTTCTTTATTTCTATAATTGGGACCTTTAATTGAAGTTTTAAGAAAGAAACCTCCAAAAGTTAGTAACTTTCTCCTTCACCTAGCCATTGAAAGGGGTTCATCCTACATTGACCTCTCCCACTAACAATCCATTTTACATATCGAAGACACACGTCTTCACAGCACTTTGTAATTTGCCTATTATTTTTTCCATCATGCTAGGATTGTAAAATTGTAAAATGTCAAATTTAGGTGGTGTCTCAACATTCTCCTTTTCACCTGTGGAATTATGACTCACCCTTTAGATCTCATCTTTTATCTTAGCTCCTCTGTGATGCCTTTATTGACACCAACCTCATGTAAGACTTAGGAAAACTCTTCTACGTTACTTCCATATTTTGTGTATACTTCCATAATGGCAACATTTTTTAAATATTTTATTATATTCTTTTATTATCCACAACAGACTGAACTCCCAGAGGTTAGAGACTAAAAATCAAAAAAAAGTCATTCTACCACTTCTTAAACACCTCCTGCAATCACCGGAACACTTAACAAGGTGGCCTGTTTCACTTGGATAGGTCTAATTAATGGGAACTACACACACTGAATTAAAATTGTCTTTCTTAAACTTTTTCATCTTTGATTTTAGTTATACCTACTCATTAAATGAGCAAAGGTATACCAAAATTAAAACTACTTTTTGAAATGTTTCACATTTCAGTGATAAATGGGTTATAAAAACTTAATATAGAATATCCTTACATTATATAGGAAGTAGGACTAATAAGATATCCACTAACTTCCAGGACCAAGCATTATATATTTAAGACTCTGAACATTCAATTTGCAAGAGTTACAGAGGAAATAATGAATAGCCTAGCATGACCTAGAAATGGGCTGAGAAAAGGGGAAAAAATCACTACAAGCCACCAATCTTTCCATTATATAGAGGTTATTTTAAAATACATTATCTTTATATGTTTTTAAAATTTATACTAATTAAAAGTGATTATGTATTTACCATCATAAATGAGTTATGATGGATAATTTTGCAAATCTACTATTGACATTTTCCCAGCCAGAATTTTCCCAGTAACAATACCTCTCATTTTTATACTGCAGAAAGAACCGACGAGCAAAGGTGGGCATGCTGCACACTTGGCAGCTCTGGGTTCAAAGGCAAACTCCTACCAGCCCTGCACTGTAAGAAATGATCACTAATCTGACTTGAAATCTCTGCTTCTTCATCTTTGTAAAGTGGGAATAACATTCTTTCCTTATGGGTTTCTGAAAAAGTTTAAGAAAATGCACATAAAGTGCACATAAACCTTGTAGCAGAGACTTACATTAAGTAAGCACACAACAAATGAGAATAATATTATAAAATCATAAATTATTATTATTTACCAAATGATTAGAAATTCCAAAAAGTTTGTCAGGGGTTTTGCAGAAAAGATTTTTAATGGGGTTGGAGCAGTCAAAGCTGAGAGTATCAGGGGTTACCTGGTCCAAATGACATGACTCTGTGAGATGAATCTTTCACTAACATTTAAAAAGCTTGAATACTGACTTCCACCTTTAGAAGATTTGCATTATCATTTATAAAATTATTCTGAATTGTTAAATACTTCAAACAGCTATTGTCTCACGTATATAGACTATGATATAAAATGTTCTTATTAGATGGTTTTATTTTCAACTATGTATATTATTGGTAATAATAAAAATAATTACTAGCATTTATAAATCATTCACTCCTATCTGCCTCTGTGCTAAAAAATTTACATGAAATGATCTTATTTAATCTTTAAAACAACCAAATGAGTTAGATTTTCTTGTCAACCATATTTTACAGGATTAAAAACTGAAGTTTGGGGAACGTCTTTTACTTTGTGGCAGGTACTGTTCTAAGCCCTGTATAAATATTAACTTATTTACTCTTCAAAGTGGCCTGATAAGGAAGCTTCTATGATTATCAACCCACTTTGAAGATTAGAAAATTGAGACTCAGAGTCTTACACTAGGTTACATGAAGTCACACGACTAATCCGTGGTGGCACAGAGATTCCAACAAAGGCAACTGGTGCTCAGGGCCATCATTCCAATATCACGGAATTCACAAGTATGCTCTGTATGACAAACTCAAATCTTTATGATTTTTATTATATTTATTTTTGAATATGATTCTGACATCTTAAATTCTGCTTTTTCAAACAGGTACCCCTGATCCAATCACAAAGACTTTAAATGAATTACTGCTACTAGAGTCAGAGTAGCAGATGTAAATGATGTGTCCCAAGGGCTGAAATGCAATAATATAAAATTGTTTTGTTGAATCTATAAAGCCTCGGAAGAAAGCATTTAGATTTTATATGTGAAAAAAATCATTTTAATTTTCTTTACTTAAAAACCCATACACTTAATAAATTTAATAAATTTTAAACTATATAATGTTGACTTTTTCTTAATTGTAGCTGATGCTACTTCCTGTTCAGAAAATTTCTTCCCTGTTGCAGAATTGCTGACCTGCTAAAAGGGCAAACATTATTCCTCCCAAGGCTATCTCCTCTCTGGACAAACAGTCTTCAGAACAATAGACAAAATGTGCTATTTTTGTAACTGTATAAAATACATATTTTAAAATATAACACACACTATAAATTCAATACATATAAAATAAAATAATATATAGAATGCAAAAATAAATCTAAAATGAAGTACAAATATAATAATTTAGAGGTAATTATTTTTGCCTAGCTACTTATGCCTAGCCGTGGAAAATAAATACAAATTCTGTGTTGGGAAAACAAGGCCTGTAAAGAACATATACTGGACATTTACAATGTGCCAGGAGATATAGTAAATATTTTATATGCATTATCCCTGCTATTCTTCCCAACTCCACAAGGTAGATACTACTGACAGCTGAAGAAAGCAAGATAGCGACTTGATTGCCCAAAGTCATACAGCTGGTAAACGGCAGAACTGGGCATCAAATCTACATTTGTCTGATGACTTGCACTCACCAGCCTGCAGTGAGTGTGGAATGCTGCGGATAGCTCATCAACACACGAGAAAAACATACACAGAGACAACCAGGTCCTATGGGGAAGTAGGAACGGAATGGCCACTCTCTCTAGTGGGGAGCGCCTGTCTCCATTCCCAAGCAGATTTTTATTAAGAATACAGACTTAGTTTGTGGATTCACAGTCTGGCAGAAAAGATCAAAAGAAGTAGGTGACTTACAAAGGTACAGGCAGAACCCCCGCTGTGATTCTGGGCAGAGAGTTTTAACATTGGAGTTTTAACATTTGAAAGGAGTAACAGGGCTCAAAGGGCAGTTTTGGTTTCCTGTCTATACCTTCAAATTCTAATATAATAACATCCTCCAGCAAACAGATCTCACAGAATCTTGCATATTCTATGTCCCAGGCCTGATTACCCTGGGGGTCCGCCGTTTCTGGTCTGGACTGCACTGCACCCCCCTGCTATTTCCACAGGCCTGAGTCAACAGAGACAAAGGCAGCCAGGAGACTTGGATTACTCACTTCTAAGAACAAGGACTCAGGCTTTGACAAAGCCAAGGGGGCAGGGGTTGATGTCCACCACTCCTTCATTTCCACAGTCCCGAGTCTCTTCCTAGAAGCCTCCACATGATCATGCCTGTCTTAGATGATTCCCTCCATGGGAAATCTTACCCATCATTGACTAACTGATCAAGCTTAGGAGGTTTAGGCACAGAACAGGCAGCATTTATGCCAGGGAAATAAGTTTTTGTCTCCTCAGTGGCTCCTGGTCTGGAGGTCTCTCACTCAGCCTAAGTCATGGGGGGTTACAGCTTCCTGAGACCACTCAGGGTGGTCTCCAACAGTCTGATTCCAGGGCCTGCCCCTTTATGACATTCTGTCTTACAGGTGAAGACAAAAATATCTGTAAACTCTATAAAACTAAGAACTATTTTAAAAGACTAATAATAAAAATAATGGTTGCAGTAGAAGTAATAACAGTTACAGGGGAAAGTCAAAGCATCTGGCTTCTATTTTTCCCTTGACAACAAATTGGTTAACCTTTTTTAAAAAAATTATTGATTGATTCTAGAGAGATAGAGGAAAGGGAAGGGGGAGAGTGGGAGAGAGAGAGAGTGAGCTAGCAAGCGAGAGAGAGAGAGAAATATGTTGATTTGTTTTGATTCTTGTATGTGCCCTGACCCGGTATCAAACCTGCAACCTTGGTATATGGGGATGATGTTCTAAGCAACTGAGTTACCCAGCCAGGGCTGTGACAACAAACAGGTTAACTTGGAAGGCCTCAAAATCTTAAGGAGTGGGGAGGTAAGGGGAAGACTAAAGAATATTGAAGGTTTTTTTTTTCTTGAAAAGTTAAATTCTAGGTCTCTGTCTTCAGAATGAATCATTTTTCCAAAATGATGATGCAAAACATGAGCCTGGCAACCTTCATTATTACATTCTGAGTGTAAGGCTCTGCAAGCGTTTACCCTGTGGATGCTAGGAGGCCAGCTCACCTGTAAATGAATGGAGCCACCGTGGCCGTATTGGGGTGGCTGTGCTGCTGCTGTTGAGGGAGGTGGACAGCACCATTTCCCGTGGTCTGCCCACTGCCCTGCGCCACTGACCCAGCACAGGGGCCAGGGGGAGAAGCTTGGCTGGCTTCCCTTCCTTCCGTAGGAACAGGGCAATTTGATGTGCTTGCTTTCTCAGTGGTTATGGGCTTAGGCAAGGACTGTGAAGGGCTTCCCTTGGCAGTCCTGAATTTTTCAGACTCTTTGCTTGCTGTGCTGCCCGGTGAAACGGTTTGTTTTGCTGCTGGCACCTTTGAGCCTGGCTTTGGAATCCCACTGGAGGATGGGATTAAGCTTTCCTTCTTGGCCGCTGTCGACTTGCTGCCCTTTGGGATCAAGCTTGCAATTTTAGAAGTCTTTTTTGGAGCGGTCTCTGTCACCTGATCCTTCTCATCCTTGGCTGGTTTTTCAGTGCAAACTTTATTTTTGTCCCTGTTCTTTTCCTCTTTTTCCTTTGGCTGTAGCAAAGACTTTTTATTGCTGAGATTTTTGCTTCCAGCTTTTGGAGGGGCTAATTTAGGTGATGCTTTGGGGCTGCTATTTGTTGAGCCACCACTGTTTAGCCCACTGCTAAAGCCTTCCATTTCACCAGGCTCAGAAACGGCATCGTCGTCCTTCCCACCCTCGCTGGGTCCTGAACTGGGAGGCTGCGGGGGGCGTAAAGCAGTCCGGGCATTGACCAGCTTGAATTTTTCAAGCATGGATTTCTGTCCCGAGGGAGCTGTTTTGACCCCTTCTGAGGCAGGGGGCTTCAGTCTGTCTGCAGGTGGTGGCGTGGGAGACGTGGCTGGACTGGACTGCTTCACGGTCAGCATGGTAGAGGTGGCACTGTGCTTGACATTCATGGACTTGCTGCGCCAGGGCTTGCTGGCACTCGGAGAAGGGATGGCAGAGGCAGGGGGCTGCCCAGCAGGGCCGGGGGGCTGCATGTTGCCATTTACACCTGACGATGGCTGAGGTCCTTTAGAGGAATCTGGACATCAAGAAATAAAGAAAAAGCTCATTAGTTTTGGTCGTTTGTATCACAGCACAGAGTACTTCTAACGACAGACACGTAGCAGTCCTGTGAACTGAAAACAGACCTGCTGTGTGGCATCAGTCACTTTTGTGGTGTGCTTGTTTTTCTTTATTTTAACTTCTAAAATTACTCTTATCGAAATGAACATTGCTAGTCACAGATATCTAAAGATGAATAAAACACTGTCCCTCCACCTAAGCAAGTTTGTGTATTTTTTCCAATTACTGATGTAATCGATTGTTATTCCACATAGTATTATAAAAATGTCACATAATGAATACTGAGAAATTGCTTAAGTGACAGGGGGCCTAGCTTATTGTTATCTGATTCAACATGCTCAAGAGTCATGGTTTAGCTTTTGTTTAATATTGTTTATTTTTACTTGTATAAAAAGCATTTAAATTTGTGCTTTATATGGGTCAGATAATCTACTATGAAATATAAATATATGTATTGATAAAATTTTATAATAATCTTGCAAGGCATGTTAGTATTATTATATTTTCACTTTAAAATTAAAAAACTGAGGCACAGAAAAACCATCTAACATGTTCAAGGTCACCCAGCCTGGATTCAAACTGAATTCAAAGCCTGTGTTTCTAACTAGCATAGCTACAGCCTCCTGTAGTGGTCTGATTAAACCTTAAATTCTAATAAAAAATTGAGCTACATTTCAGAGGCCATAGGAAAATAAGGTCTTTGTCATATAGCTACTTTATACTGCACACATTTCCAGTCAGAAATCTCATTGTATGATTTTATATGATTGTTCTAGCACTGATTAATGTTTGATTATAAGCCTTACTTTTAAGTATAAAAAACTAAATAAAAAAGATATTTAAATATGGTATAAATAAAAAAGAACTGAGCATGGATTCAAAGACCTCAGTGTGAATGTTAACATGTGGGAACTGTATAATTCTGATCAAGTCATTTACCATAAATGCCTTCCTCTTTCATACTCTTATTTTTCTTAGAGAGATGGGATGATAGATGATTACATTAGACATTTATGTAAAAGTCGTCACTTGGTAGTATTAATATACCAGATATCAACAAATACATGCAAAGCTGTTTTTGATGAAATGCCCAAAGGAAATATTCTACAAATAATATTCAGGATTGGGGCCCATTAAGTTTCATTAAATATGCATAAATATAGAAATACAATGCTTTTACTTTTAAATGCTGTCCTCAAAGACATGAAAATATATAAGAAACAATATGTAATCAAGGCAATTAGTACCCTGTACTAGTCTCATCCATTTTTCAGAAGAAATTGACATAGAAAAAAGAAAATGAAGAATAGAGGAAATAAAGAATAGGGAAAAAGGTTATATTAGTTGTAATTTGCTTCAGTTAGATTTTTAAAAATAAGTGTGCCTGAAATAATATAATGGATTTGTAAAACTGGTATCAACAACAATAATAGTGTAGAAAAATGCATTTATATAAATTTTCTTAAACAAATTGTCCACCAACATTGACTTCAAACTTACTACCTTTCTACAATTCCACATTTCAACCAGCAAACACAACAGACAACTGTGCATACATATGCTAGATTACAGTGTAGTGAATCCCTAAAGTCAACATGCTTACATGGTATATTTAAATTTTAAAGCATATGATGATGAATTAATTTTTCACTATTCATGTAAAGTTGGCAATTTTGTCAACTTCTACAATAGTTTGAGAAATCTAGGTTCATATTCAAACACTAAGGTGTTCTAAACAGTAGTATTGACTAAGACAAATACAGACAAGAAGCTTCAAAATACGCCATGGTTCAAATACACTCACTCTCTGAGAATGGATTTCAATTTTCTGCCTCTATCTGTTTCAGCATATTTAATTCTAAATCTATTTCACTTACAGAGAGGTCCCTTTCAGAGATTGATAACATTTCTTCCTAATTTAAATAATTCTTGGTAGCAGATAGAGTATATCTATGACCTACAGGTAGAAATGCCTACCACATACTTCTTCAGAATTATTACTATTTATTGGTTAAGTCTCAAGTTTGGCCTCATTTCATCTAGAGGAAAAAACCAAAAACCTTATCCCCATGCCCACCTCTGACCATCCTAACACCAAGTCTGGATCAGGTAGCTACTCTGGGTTCTTTCATAGCTTATTATTTCCTCTGTTACAGCCACAGTAACTCCAATGCAGCGGCCTGTTTGTCCACTACACTGCATATCCGATGAGAGTAAAGACCTCACCTGAATCACGCAGTTTTATACCACGCACACACACCATGCTCACAGTCCAGTGCAGTGACTGCACATGTGGCAGTCACTGAACTAAGTATTTGGCTTACATGAACTCAATCCTCCCAATGACTGCACCAAGTTTCATCAATACTGTCATTTCATACACAAAGAAACTGAAGCACCACGAGGTTAAACAACTTGGCCGAAGTTATTCGATGTGGAAGGGACAAACCTGAGAGCTAAGCTTACCTTGGATTCTAACTTAATTCTATCAACAACTATACTATACTATTTCTCAAACGTATAAAGATAAGTTCAATGGCTCATTAATTGTAATGTTATTCCTTGAATACAGAAACATAGAAAATAAAGATTGTCAATTAATGCCTTTAATTGAATTATATCAAGTGAACTTTATTTCCTAATTGTCTGGATTCAACTGCACATCAAGAATACCTCTGAATAAAATAAATTTTCTCAAGTGCATTGAATTATGATCATGTTCACATATTTCATATAATGACTTTACTGTTTTGCTCAGTTTTGTCCAACATACATGGCTATTTTTTCTACTATTTCCAGCAATATTAATTGTTGCTATTCCGTCCCTACAATCTATAGAATGTGAATCTATACACACCACCGGTTAATATGTAATGAGTATCTAGTCCATGCAGGACACACCAAGACACCATATAATCTAGTCAGAGGAAAGAAAACAGACTCATAAAAGATGAGAGGTATATATATATCAAATATTAAATGAGTAGGATGCAGGAAGGAAGATGGTGGTGGTCAGAGCTGCACCCCTCTGGGGTGCACAATATCTAATGAAATCAAGACTGATGCTATGAGGGAGAGACGTAAGGATTCAAAGCAGGAGAAACTTTTATAGATTTCTTTTAGGGAGCTATGTGAAAATTTTGTTCTATTTATTTATATCTGAAAATATGTACATACATATATTGGGGCACAGGGTTGTAGAGAAACATCACCCTCCCCTTTCCCCAAATCAAAGCATCGTCTGCTGTGAATATGAAGGGGAACATAATGGACTCATATTGAGTTCATCTTCACTTTCTTACACTGACCTCCCTTGAAAGTTATTTGTAATCTTCCTTATTCTATAATGAAAACAATGCTAACAATTATGACAAATATAATAATGCTAACTGTATTTTAGCATTATTTTATTGAAGGTTCTTTTACTGCATTATTTCGCATCAGTGCTCACAACAACCAGTAAGGTGGGAAGGGCTCTGATTTCTAATTCACATATGTGGAAAGCAAAGCTTTGAGAGCCTAAAGAACTCATTCACTGGTCTGCAGCGAGTGAGGAGTTTGGGGTGGAGCGAGGATGTGATCCCACATCCTGTGATTCTAGAGCCACAGCTCTACAATCTGTTGAATGTAGACCAGCCTAAGGGGTTAACGTAGCTGTTCTCAAACTGTACTGTGCGTACAAGTCACCTGAGGTCTCACTGAATGCCCATCCCATTGTGACTCAGCAGATCCGCAGTGGCCCTGAGGTGCTGCATTGTAAAGAAGCTTCCAAATGACATTAAAGCCACTGGCCACAGACCAAGTTCTGAGTAGCAAAGGTTTAACAGACTCAGAAATCATGGCAACTGCTGATTATTAGCTTTAAAGGCTCGTTTTTTATTATAGTACCCACATTGGCTAAATTTGTTAGACATTCTACAGCTGTGTGGCATTAATACTCTTTCCTCTTTGAATACTTGAAACCTTCACCAGTTCCACACTCACCTCGATGGTTGACCATTTTTGGTGAGGGACCACAGAAAAAAGCAGCCTACCATCAGGTTTTCCTAATGCTCTTTATTTCTTCATTTTACCTACATATGTAACATGTGTCTTCCACATTTATACAACTAAGTTAAGAAGGCAGGTGATGCCTACCCTTGCATGCCTGGGAGCTTTGGTGGGGATGAGAGGAGAAGGTAAAAAAATAAGCCCAGTCGGGGTGCTTTATAAATGTGCTGACAGCAGCTAGATAGGCTGCTATAGGAGCTCAAGGGCAGAAGAGGAACTTCAATATCACTACCCTAGAAAATGAGACAGCAGGGACAACAAATGATAACATCCACAGCCCCAGTCCCAGCAACAGCTGTAAAACTGTCCTCAGACGAGTACACACATATAAGACACTTCTCTAAGCTCAACTTAAATCTGTCCCCAGCCTGTCTCTGTACAGCAGTGATGAGGTGCTTCAAGTTTCATTAAGAGGGCAAACCATAAGCTGCTGTGCTTCGGGAGGGCACTGGAACAACAGGAGTCTCTCTGGACTCCTCACAATAAAGGCTACACGACCACCTCGGCTGAGCAGCGTCTGTTGCTCCTGTGCAATGGGTGTAGCCACAGATTCCAGCCTCTGGGCCATTTACACATTCAATGCTAAGTCCCTGGGCAAACTGATCTGTGTCTGAATGTTGATAACTCAGCTTTGATTGTGAATGAGTTGTCATGTGGGGTTTGGGGAAGGAAGAGATACCCCGTGTCTGCACTTACAGGCGCTCCTACAGTTGACCCGCATCTCACACCTGCACTGTGCTGACAGCACTGTTTCTCACCTCTGACCTCCAAAAAAAGTTTCTCCCACCCCCTCCCTGTCCTCTTCTTTCCTTTCTCCTTCCATTTCCAAATCCACTATAACCAAACAATGTAATTTATCAACTGCCTAATTTTTCCAAGTACTTTCTTCCACACAGAATATCACAT